GCTGCAAACATATTTCTTGAGTAAAATACCATTCTCATTATTAAACAGTTGACATCATCTCAGGTGGCTCTGGGACGTCAAACTTGCAATAATGACTGAATTTCCATTCCTGATTCTGGTCATCTGGTCTTAGCATGAACTCAGCTCTTGACTATTCAGTCAGTGTGAATCACCTGATCATGGCAATCCAGGAGATTCAGTTCATGCTAAGGAGAGTGGACTTCAAAGTGATGGGTCATATTGTTTTGCACTGCAGGAGCAAATTACTGCAGCCACTGGATTAACTAAGCACAAAAAATGCTGGAGACATAGCTGGTCAGGCAACATTTCGAGTCTAGATGACTCTTCATCAGAGCTGAAGTGAAGTGTGGAGGGGCAGTATATGTGCACTGGTGTGGGTGGGGTGTTGGAGTGCTGGGAGGAGAAAGGATGTTGATAGTTCAGATTAAATGATCAGAATATGAGAATGCCAGAACAATGATGTGTCTAACTGCCAGACTGGAAAGAACAGACAGTCCCATTGGGTTGTGGGAAGGGGAGAGACGGTAACAGAGAATGTAACAAGCAAAGCTAAAAGAAAGGGAAGGAATGGGTTCACAATTTGAAGATGTTGAACTCAATACTGAGCCCAGAAGGTTGTAAACTGTCTAGTTTGAAGATGAGACATTGTTACTCCAGTTTGCAGTGTAATTCGTGGCATCATTGCAGCATGCCGAGGACAGACAAGTGGGCATGTGAGCAAGACACTGTGTAAAGTGACCAGCTGTGGAAAGCTTGGGGTTATGCTTGCGCACAGACCGGAGGTGTTCTGCAAAACGGTCACCCAGCATTTGGTTTCTCCGGTGTAGAATAGGCCACATTGGGTGCAGCGAATACAATACACAAGATTGGAGGAGGTACAGGTGAAATGCTGCTTCACCTGGAAAGACTTGCTTGCACACCCACTTGTCTATCCTCAGCATGCTGCAATTCTCCAGTGAATCACAGCGCAAACTGGGGGAACAACATTTCATCTTGAAACTAGGGAGTTTACATCCCTTTGGGCTCAGTATTGAGTTCAACATCTTCAAATTGTGAACCCATTCCTTCCCTTTCTTTTAGCTTTGCTTGCTACATTCTCTGTCACTCTGTCTCCCCTTCCTCCACTCCAGTGGGACTGTCTGTTCTTTCGAGTCTGGCAGTTAGACACACAATTGTTCTCACATTCTGATCACTTAATCTGAACATCTTTTCTCCCCAGCGCTCCAACCTGCTACCCGCTCCATGCCCTCCCCCCACTCCGACTCATACATAAATGCTGCCCCCCTCCATACTTCACTTCAGCTCTGATGAAGAGTTATCTAGACGCAAAAAGTTAACTTGCTTTCTCTCCATGAATGCTGCCTAACCCACTGTGATCTCCGGCATTTGTTGTTTTACACTGTGTTGTTTTCTTTTGACTAGGTGAGGAGGTGTGAATCTTTTCCTACCTTTTCAATCTCCACGCTAGGCCACAGCAAAGATTTCTTGCTGTTTTTAGCTCAAGCCTTGGCTGTAATCAAAATGTAATTACTTAATGTCTGTCGTATCAGTAAGGAGCCAATTACAAAGTTTTCTGGAGAATAGAATATAAAAATACAGTGAAATGTTTTATAAGTGACTCCACCACAAGGCACCTACATCAATGACAGAAGTTATACATAATCATAAAAAAAAGTAAAATTAAGACAAAGTTCATCACAGTTCAGTTAACAGCTCCTGGTCTCTGGGAAAGCCGATTAAGGAATGATGGAATACTCTGAAGACACAGCCGGGATGACACCGCCATGCTGGACCGCTGGGTTGGAAGCCTTCACCGAAGAAGACTGCTATGCCGGGTTGTGACTGCCACTCCTGTACAAGACTGCCTTGGTGGGCCAAGATTGCCACACCTGGATGAGACTGCCTTCTGGGCTGCTAGAATACCTGGACGCTGAAGATGAAGAAGACCTCCACGCTCAGACAAGACTGTAACACCGGGAGACTGGACCCTTGGCCTAGCTTGCAAGTCCGGTCTGGGGGAGTCAGCCTGGGGCCTGCTCCTCACTTGCCAGGAGATCCCAAGCTGGGGTGAAGCCATGTTCGGCACATCCTGCCATTGCTGCTACCGGAGGCCTCCTCCTTCACCTGCCACTCTCCAAGCTTAAAAGAAAATAAAAAAAGAAAAACAGCAAAGTTATAAAGAAAAAAAAACAGAAAGAAAGCTAATAGGAGCAGATGAGCCCTGGGCTCAGCCCCTCTACTCCATCTTGGGAGAAAGAAAGAGCAATATTATTATCTGCTAACCTCAAGGAAAATAATAAAGTTGTGACACCAAAAACATACACAGACACAATGTTAAAACGAGCTAGTGTCCAATAGAAAAGGGAAATGAAAGGAATATACAATTTACAAACCTTAGAGTGTCCTTGAGATGCGCAGCTTTAACCTAGATCCCTGTTGTTTAATTGATGTCTTGTATCCTCTGCAGTAGTGAATATTTCAGTTGTCCTTTGTGTTCTCGGTGTCATAATGTTTTGTTTTAAATAGTTCTGTCACCAGGCACTTTTCCTTTTTGAGAGGCCAAGAGAAAAGCCACTTTCTTCAACTGATTCCAATCACCAATCTACCTCCCATTTTTACAAACCAGCCCTCGAAAGTACAGAGATAGTAGGAACTGCAGATGCTGCAGAATCTGAGATAACAAGGTGTAGAGCTGGATAAACACAGCAGGCCAAGCAGCATCAGAGGAGCAGGAAAGCTGACGTTTTGGGCCTAGACCCTTTTTCTGAAGAAGGGCCTAGGCCCGAAACGTCAGCTTTCCTGCTCCTCTGATGCTGCTTGGCCTGCTGTGTTCATCCAGCTCTACACCTTGTTACCTCTAAAGTACACTTCGTTTGTGTAATCCCGTGTCTCAGTTCATTGGACCAAACTTGATAATTGCAGGTGATGTCTTTCATCTCTAACATGTGAAATTTATCACACAGATGTAAATCCAAATAGGTGACATTCTTTCCACAACTGACTGGATGGACTAGTTTCAGTGTCTTTTGATAAAAAAAATGTTAATTTCAGTTCAGACAAGAATCCCAAAAGGAGATTGACAAGTTGATAGAGTAGGATGATAGATGGTAGATGAGATTCAATGCAGAGAAGTGTGAGGTGATGCTCTGGTCGGACGAACACCACAAGGCAAGACAAAGTAGGGGGTACAATTCTAAAGGGGGTGCAGCAGCAGAGGGACCTGGGGGTATATGTGCACAGATCACCGAAGACGAGTAGATAGAGCAGTAAATAAAACATAGTGCTCTTGGTTTTATTAATAGGGCACAAGAGCAAGAAGGTGATGTTGAACTTGTACAAGATACTTGTTAGTTCTCAGCTGGAGTATTGTGTATAGTTGTACGTGCCACATTATAGGAAAGATGCAAATGCATTGGAGAGAGTGCAAAACGATATACTAAAATGGTTCCAGGTATGAAAAAATTCAGCTATGAGGATAGTTTGAAGAAGTTGGAACTATTCTCCCTGGAGAAAAGAAGGCTGAGAGGAGATCAGATTGAAGGTTTCAAAATCCATGAGAAGGCTTGACCAAGTATGTAGAGTGAAGCTATTTCCTTGTGTAAAAGAAACAAGAACAAGAGGACATTTATTTAAAGTGATGTGCAAATGAAGCAAGAGTGATGTGGGAAGAAACTTTCCACACAGTAAGTTATTAAGATATAGAATGCAGCCTGGAAATGTAGTGGAGACAGGGTCAGTTGAAGTTTTTGGACAGTAACATTGTGGAGGGATGTGGCAGGAGATTGACATCAGTAATGATGCTCATTGGAAGAGCTGGTACAGGTCTCCTTCTACATCGTTATGATTCTGTGATGTTGTTTATTCCACTTCAGTTTCACAATGTTTCACTAACCTGTGCAGTCAGCCAAATACTAAGACCATTTTGTTAATGTTTATCGCTTTTAAAATGGTTTCAGTCCATGGACATCTCAGGTATTAAAATCAGGTAATGGAATTTGAAATTCAAAAGTCCATTTTGATCACTCAATTGATAATATAAACTGTCACCAGAGACTTCTCCTGAATCCATGATAGTCTTCCTGTTTGTAAGATATGAGGAATGTTCTCCTCTGTGAGTGTGCATGATAAATTCATAAACTGTTCAGTACATTTATGGTCTCATTACACAAAATACACAGAGCAAATATTCCTTCATGTTATGTTTCCCTTTTTTTAAAATCATTTTTCTACATTTGCTTTCCATGCAGGGATCTAGAGAATCAGTTTCCAAGTTGCACAACAAAGAGTTTAATTTGTGAGGAATCAGGGCAAGCTACATTCATTTAATTTCACATACACTGGGACCTCGATCTTCCACCATATGGAATGGACCATTTCATTCCAGGTGATGAAAGGTCTACTTCCACTTGGGCTAAAATAATGATTTTTTTTAAGCTTTTTTTCTCTGTCTTTATTAATTAATACCATTTCCTTGAATTGCAGGAAAGACTCATATTTTCCATTTTGAAATGTTTCCGCACTGTAGGGATTCTATGATTCTATGAAAAATACATTGGGAAAATTTCAAGCAGGTTAATTTCACCTTTTACCTCAGATCCAGAACTCTTACCAGTTCCACAGTCCCACAAAGTCACCTCCTGCTTGATTCCTAGACTTACAGCCTTAATTCCTGCTGATTTCTAAACCCGGAAAATTGGTTTCTGAAGCAGAAAGGTAGTACATGGAGTTGGACATCTAGGAAAGAAGTACTTATCATGCTAGATGAAGAGCTCCAAACATTTATATATAAAAAATTTAAAAATAAAAATCAATTCTGTTTGATTTATATGATCTGAACTTCAATTTCCATGAAGTTCAATATTCATACCTGAGGCTCCATTATATTACACGATGTATATGCAGCAATTTCAGTGATGTTTTGGAATATGTTAAAATATAACATGGCAAATCTAATATTTTATTGTGCTGTACTTTACAAGGTATGTGCTTTCAAGCATTTATGGAGGCCATCTTTCACTTGGCACAGAGGAGGTATAAGACTCCACCTCTGCGTGAGCAAGTTGAGGCACTGGTCAATTTCTGTGAATATCAGCTGGAAGTCCAGGATGAGAAACACATTCTGTACGGCCGTGGAACAACAGACCAAAGATTGAGCTTAACTATGTATCAGCCTGAAGCATCTCGCTCGGGTACTACCAATCACATGCGATTATTAAACCGAATGAGCACTTCAAATAGATTGTCGGCATCGTCATTACCTACATCAGCAGATCAACAACTTGTAAATTCAATGAGTTCAAGAGGTATTTCTTAATAGCCACGTATATGTTAACATCTTCACTGTAACATTTTAATTGTCCTGTTAAGGCAATTTTTGCTACCTACTTGTGAATAATTGTGATTGGTTGTGCCTTTGTTTTATATTCTTTCATTGTAAGGGAACATCATTGACTAGACCAGAATTTATTGCCCATCCAAGGGCAATTAGGGATACACAACATATGCTGACCTACCCAGTGAAACCCATTCCCTGTAAAAAAATAAAATGTCCTCCAATTCACAATTGTCCATACTGATGATGATTTAGATATTGATAAGAAAAGGTTTAACAATGAGCTTTGATTTCTTTTTATGTGCACTTTGGGATATAAGCATTGCTGGCTGGCTGGCCAGCATTTATTGTCTGTCCCCAGTTGCCCTTGAGATGGTGGTGGTGAGCTGTCTTCTTGAACCATTCTAGTCCACGTGCTGTAGGTTGACCCACAATGCCCTTAGGGAGGGAATTACAGGATTTTGACCTAGGGACAGTGAAGGAATGCAATATATTTCCAAATCAGATGGTGAGTGGCTTGGAGAGGAACTTGCAGATAGTGGTGTTCCCGTGTACCTGCTGCCTTTGCCCTTCTAGATGAAAATGGTCATGGGTTTGGAAGGTGCTGTCAAAGAATCTTTGGTGAATTTCTGCAGTGCATCTTGTAGATTGTGCACACTGTTGCTAATGAGCATCGGTGGTTTATGCTTGTGGACGTGATACCAATCAAGCAGGCTGATTTGGCCTGGATGGTGACCAGCTGATGTTAATTCTAGAGAACCTCTTAGCATAGTCCCAGGTTAAATTGGTTGTGAATGCTATTTTTTATTTGGTCATCACCAGATTATTAACACAGTAATTATTAATTATGATTTATTTCATTTGCCCACAGTAACTGATTGCTCGCCAGCAGCTTCCTTCAGTCCCAATGGATGGGACAATCTGGGCTGCAGGTTTTGTCGTAATGCCAACCAGTGCTGCTCTGTGATTGGTTTAAATGATGTGCGTTCTCAACGGCTCAAGCTGACACAAATTTTACGTCCATCTGTAACGTCATACTTTATGTAGCAGCCCAGCTTTCGAATGGCAGTTCCCCTCCACCATATCTCCAGGACTCATTCCTGCACACTCAGTAGGAAGTTAGCTCTTCGCTGCTAGGATAGCTAGCAATGGATAAATATTTTCAAGCCAATTCTGCTGAAGTAGAGTGATTATACCTGCATTTCATATTAATTAGACCCCTGTATTTCATACTTAGAATCATGTGCGGTTTATTTAAGTAAAAATCAAAGCAAGCATTTTTCAGGCCCATGGGAACTCCAGATTCAAAACAATTTGCATTTAATGTAAAAAGCCACCATTTGGCTCCTGGCCCTAATCCATTTATATCATTTTATTAAACAAATTTCATTGTGGATGTTTTCTCTTCCTTTTATGAGTTGCTGATTGTCTTATAATTACTATTGCCATGTTGTTGTCATGTTCCTGAATCTTCTGCCAATTAGCTCAAATAGCAGATGTTCTGTGTTTTTTAAGTTCACTTTTTTCTATAGACATCACAGGATCACCACACTGGCACAAAATGAGCTCCTCATTTATGTATATCAGGGTTTCTGTGAATTAACACTCATTGGGCTATAACTTACTGACGGTGCTAATAGTAGATAAATGCTGAATATATCTCCAAAGCATTTGTCCTTCTACTAATAAATAGATTAACAGCTTTGCCAAAATAGTGGATGGAGGAATGTAATACATGTATTAAGCCTTCATCCACTAGAAGCAGTAATTTCAAACCCATATTTTTCCTTTATTTCTCTTGTTTGTCGTGCAGTTTTTGTGGTATTGTGATATTCAGCTGAATTCATTCATGTATTCAGCAATGCAGAATATGTCAGGAAATGTGCGTTGTGTATTGCATTGTTAAGGATCCACATTCCTACAATAAAACTATTTTGTTGCAAGGTTTTCTTTTAACAATTTAGAATTTAAGTTAAGTTAAGTGGCAGCTTCTGTGCCACTCTAAATTTAATCAGTAAAAGGAGCAGGCTATCTGGTCATTAAAGATCACACTAAAAATCAAAGTATGTTAAACTCCATCTTGTGTTCTTATTTTCAGTACTAGTCCGGAACTCTCACTTGCCCAACTTTAGAACTGGCAGAGAACATGCTGCTCTTCATAGACTTGCTGTGAAAATAAAGCTCAATAATTCAGCCATTAGCAAAGTGAAATTAACGAGCTTCAGTATATCATCAACTTCAGAATATCATCCAGTTATCAACTGGAACTTATCAAAAGTCATTTGTCTCTATGAGGACTATAACACATATTGTTAATCAATACAATTCCAAACTCACTTCATTTAAAAAATAATTTTTGTACTTTTGTACATATGGTATTGTGGGAAAAGAAAAAAACATCAAAGCTATAAAATATTTTTGACAAATGATGGACGAATCAGTGCTTTGCTTTCTATCTTAACAGACTGGACCATAAAATTGCTAGATGGTGCCAATAGTAATCATTAGTTGTCTTCCACCCATGAATCTCAGTTGCATATTTCAAGACAGTTTGACTTATTTAAACTCCAACATCTTAGCACATTCACATTGTTAACAATTGAGTCCTAGAGACTGGGGAAGACCCCAGATATGTCCTGAGTTAAATGATCTCAGCTGGTCAGCTGGGAAGGGAAATGGGGGTGAGGGTGGTGATGGTGATGGCTGGGTACAGTTTCTGCTACTGATTGCTATCCCATATTTAGATGTGATTAAAAAGTGAGCACAGGGTCATGTTTAACTGTGGCGAATATTTTCCCTATGTTTGAGGTGTAATTCATCTGTGAATTTTTTTCTTTTCTCACAATACCACGTGTACAAAGGTACTCATAGCCTGAAAATTATTTTTCAAATGAAATGAGTTTGTAATTGTAATGATTGACAATACGTGATATAATCCTCAGAGACATGGGACTTTTGATAAGTTCCAGTTGATAACTGAAAGATTTCACATTTTAGTATGTTTTTACTATAATAAATGGCTGAAAGCATGATTAACTAAACACTTTACTAACACCTTTCACCCCAACCTCAAATTCACCTGGACCAGCTCCGATACCTCCCTCTACTTCCTGGACTTCTTTGTCTCCATCTCTAGTAACCGCCTCGAAAACAACATCTATTTCAAGCCCACCGACTCCCACAGCTACCTTGATTACACCTCCTTTCACCCACACTCCTGCAAGGATGCAATCCCCTACTCCCAATTCTTCCGCCTCCGCTGCGTCAGCTCCCATAATGGGGTGTGCCACTCCCACACATTCTAGATGTCCTCCTATTTCAAGGACCGCAACTTACCCCCTCCGGTGATCGAAAATGCTCTGAACCTCATCTCTTGCATTTGCCGCACCTCAGCCCTCACATCCCCTCCCCCCAACAAAAATTAAGACAAAATCCCCCTTGTCCTCACATGTCACCCCACCAACCTCTGTATCCAATGTATCATTCTCCACCACTTCCACCACCTATGATCCGACCCCACAACCAAAGATGTATTTCCCTCCCCACCCCTATCTGCCTTTCAAAGGGACCACTCTCTCCATGAGTCCCTCGTCTGCTCCACACTCCCCACTAGCCCCACCACCCCCGGCACCTTTCCCTGCAACCGCAGGAAGTGCTACACCTCCCCCCTCACCTCCATTCAAGGCACAAAACAAACCTTCCACATTAGACAGGGGTTCACCTGCACATCCGTCAACCTGGTCTCTGCATCCGCTGCTCCCGATGTGGCCACCTCTACTTCGGGGAGACCAAGCGGAGATCGTTTTGTACGGCACCTGCGACAAACAACAACACCTTCTGGTCGCAAACCACTTCAACTCCCACTCCCTGGGTGTCATGTCCATCCTGGGCCTCCTCCAGTATCACAACGACACCACCCACAAACTGCAGGAGCCTACAGCCCAATGGCCTAAACGTAGATTTCACCAGTTTCAAAATTTCCCCACACCCAGCCTCATCACATGACCATCCTCACTCTCATCCCCACCTCCTTGACCTGACACAACCTGTCCATCTTCCACCTATCCATCCCTCCCACCACGTCCTATCTGCATCCACCTATCACCATCCCACCTACCTTCCCCAGCCCCACCCCTCCTCTCTATTTATTTCTGAGCTCCCTCCTCCCCATTTCTGAAGAAGGGTCCTGACCCGAAATGTCAACTTTCCTGCTCCTCTGATACTGCCTGGCCTGCTGTGTTTCTCTAGCTCTACACTGTGTTATCTTTGACTCCAGCATCTGCAGTTCTTATTATCTCTAAATCTCCCTTGATCTCTAACAATCAAACCTCCCAGGTTTTTAGTTTGACTTCAGAACAAATCATATGACATGCTTCTATATTTACCTAACTTTAAAGCCACAATCCCAAAATAGAATAATCTATAAATCTCATAATTGTAAGATCTGAAATTAAAAGTGACTTCTGCTTGCTTTCATCTTGTGATTGATACGTTATCCACATAACCTTGTGGAGGAATTTTGTTTCTATTGGAAACATTATAGATTTCACTGACTGTACCTGTCCTCTTAAATGATATTTTTCCCAGCCTGTAATAGCCATCTATTCCATTTTCTAGGTAAAGATTCACAACGTGATGCTTTAACCCGTGACATGTAGCAAGTGGGTTTTTGTTCTAATGTTTCATTCTCTTCTGCTTATTATATAAATTTGATGAGTTAATTTGCTTTTTAAGGATGATAGACAGTGATGGTATTTGTTATTAGCATAATCAATATGTGTGCCCATGATACATGTGCATCTAGCTTGAGCACTTCTTTGAAGTACAAATACATTTAATACAGAATCAGTCAACACCTTTCCAATGTCTACAGTTAATTGGATGCTAGTTAGCTTTAATTTCAACAAAAGATTGTAAATCCTTATCACCTTTAGTGATTTTGAAATGAGCAATTGTGGAGGAGCTGTTATCTCTAGCTATTATATAATGTGGTAGTGCATTAATTATGATTTAAAAGGTAATAGCACATATGCAAAATATTATCAGGTTAAATACTGTTCTCCCCTTTGAAACCGTGCCCTTCCAAAGAGCAGTAATCTTAATTAGAATGCCACTCAAACTTTTCTGTCTATGTTTCTCAGCATTTCTTCTTAGATCTTCCAAACATGTCTTCTCCAGAAATGCAGAGCAGGGCATCCATCAGAGAGTTCCATTTTGCTATAATAGAGTTGGGGGAGAGGTGTGACAAAATAAAGACCCCATTTTATGGCTTAGCTGCACTATGGTAACTTTAAATATCCCTTGTGTATGTTAGTGAATGGGTGAGTGATGAAGGATTAAATGGGTAGGGTGGGGTTCGCAGGTGGGGGAGATGTTAAGTGAGTAGGGTGGCAGTTGGATGAGATGAGTAAGCAGTGAGGATCAGGAGACAGTCTGGTCAAGTTAAGAGGCGGAGTCAGTTCAGGGACTACACAGGTTGGGGGTGTTAGTGGCTGGTTGAGGATAGTCAGGTCTGATCAGGGATTCTAGTTATGTGTCCAGGGGCTAAATGTAGTTGGGTGTTATCATGGAAAGTTGGTCAAGACGTCAGTGTCAGTCAGGTCAAGTCAAGAGAATAGCCAGAGTGGAAGTTAGGTGGGGTTTTCAGGGTGTCATAAAAGATTAGGTGCATGTGAGGTGTTGGAGGGTGGTGAGGAGGTAGTTAGGTTTGGTCAAGGCATTTGACGTGGGGTTTGAAATTAGATATCATGGAGTCAACATGAGTAATTACATCAATTCTAACTTTATCTAGAAGTTAAACCAGGTTCTATTTTATTTTAACATGTCCTGGGTAACTACCCAAGTTAATATCGCGGAACCGTCCAAAGTCTCCAGTTCTAACTCGGAGTTGGAGAATTTCACAGAGCAGAGGAATTTCCCATCAGTCATTCAGAATTCCTGGACAAATCCTATGAAGGTCAACTTGTTGGGACTGTCGCAGAGTCCCGAAATGCATCTTGAGTTATACGTCCAGTCTCCAACATTCTGGAATAGGTGGGCCAACTATGCAAATTAGTTCTAAAGAGGGGTCACTGGACCCGAAACACTAACTGTGATTTCTCTCCACAGATGTTGCCAGACCTGCTGAGATTTTCCAGCAATTTCTGTTTTTGTATGCAAATTAATTGATAATACATATTTATTGGCTATCCTACACTAAGGTAATTTATGGAGGGTTTTAGTTGTGAAAGTAAGTACTCGCATAATAATGTTAATGTTCTGGATTTATTCTATAAATGTTAGTTTAAGTAGGATATTTAACTTGACTTAATATAAATTCCTTTGAGACTAAAGAGGCTTGTTTATCATCAATTGTTTCTGTAGAAGAGTTAAGACATTTAACAAAGACATTAATGTAAAAATGCATCAGATTGGTGAATATAAAATTTATTTCTAGTTTAGTTCAGTCCAAACAGTTTGGGGAAAAGGGAGATATTGATGTGGAAGGACAGGGTAATGCATTTGATATAGTCTGCATGGTCCTTACCAAGGTCTTTGATTCAATGTCTCATGACAGGTTGGTCAAAAAAGTAAGAGCACACGGGATCCAAGGCAAATGTTGGATTTAAATTAGGTGATAGGCAGAAAGCAGAAGGTGATGGAGGGCTCGGTGCTGGCACCCTTACTTTTTATGGTGTACATTAATGATTTGAACTTAAATGTCGGGGTATTATCAAGACGTTCAAGGATGACATGAAACTTGTTAGGGTGGTAAATTGTAAGGATAGCCATAGACTGCAGG